CTGTGTTCTGTGTCACATTATGGTTTAGAACTGGTGAGACAACTAGACCAGACTCTTTGCAGACAAAGCAACTGAGTTAAGTGACAACTCTAAGAAGGTATTGATGAAACCACCAGCTTGAGATACCGATCACTCCAATGTTGTTGCTTAACAATTGTGTTGCTACGAGTTCTTTCTTCATAATTGACACCTAAATATTGCTATAAACTAATTAGCCACAAACAGAGGAAAAAATAATTTTGGTTGTATATAAAAAAACCCTTTAATACATTGGAGATGGAATAGTTACTTAGCTGCAAAAGTTCTGACATTGTTACCTGACATTAAGTATTATGCTTTAAATACCAGCAAGGGCACCATAGCCACTACCACATGATGAACTCTTTCCATTGATTTCCCTATGTAATTTTCCAAAGTCAATTTTACGAAAACTGATATCAACTTTGGGCTGAGTTGGACAGAAGGTTTGCGGTTTGGGTTTGTTTTCTTTTTTTAACTGAAATTACCATCATTGCAAATTTCTTCAGAACCATTTGTCAAAATTACCTTTTAGAGACATTTTTAGCACTTCAGAAAAACTGCACTAAAAATGAGAAATATTTAAGAAAAGCCTACACAACTGAAATCAGGTATTTGCTCGTTATCAAAATTTGTGAATACCAGATTGCAGTTACAAACTACACTTTTTGGCTCATTATCATTCAGCTGTTGAACCACAGATACAGCTTGCATCACCTAAGAGGACTACGCAACAACAGGCAGGTTACTACTGCTTAAAGCTCTTGCTTCTTTATAACATTTTGAGTTTCTATGAATCCTTCTTTTCCAGGAAAACAGCAACATGGCTTATTGGAAATTCTACTAAAAAATGCATCTTTTTTTTTTTTTTCACTTCTTATCACAGTGGTAATATATAACCTATCAAGGAGAGTAAAATTTAAAGTGCACTGCATGAAACAATCTAGTTCTCCCATATCTTTGTATCTCCTATATTTATCAAACTTCCACACTCTCATTATGCATAAGAAAACATAGTTCTCAATTAATAGCTATTTTAAATACTACTTCTATATTCCTCTTCTACCTCCTCTTCTACTGTGAGCAAGTGTTACTGAGCTGAAAGGAGTGATCAGTTCACTTACCACAGAACTGCAACCACTCTTCAGAATTTTTCTGCCAGAAACACTAAGACACCTTTTAGGACAAGGAATTAATAATTTTACTAATGTAATTAAAGTAATTTAGATCGATCCGAAACAACACGCTCTTTCATCCCTTGGTTAATACTGGTCAAACAGTGTGATGTACACTAACAGTTCACATCATATACCATTTATCATGCAGGAAGGATGCAATTTTAGACCATCCAAAACATTCAATGAAGTATTTGCCCTGCTGGCAAACTTCACGGAAAATTATTTTCTATAAAAGCTTGTGTTATTATAATGGAAGCTTTCAACTTCACTGGAAGGAATAAAAGTACTCTTTGCTCACATCAACTTTGGCTAACAACTCTGTTACGTACTTGCAGGAAACCAGCGATGCAACTGACTCCCATTTACAAAACAAATCCTAGTGATACAAATTTTGATCCTTGTGTCATATCTCTTTTCCAACCAGAAAGAGTCTCAGAGAAGATAGGACTTAAGACTGTTTAAAGTATCTTTAAAAATAAATTTTAACAGGCAATTTTAAAGATTCTTTTGACCCCATTTCATTATCCCGAACTACCATCGGTTCTTTATACAGTTTTCAGATCAAGACCTGAAATTGTTTACTGGATACATTTCTTTATCAGATTTGACTGTGAGATCATCTTCCCCGGCACCTTTTCAAACTATGAAAACACTTGTAAAAGCCATGAAACAGAATATTGTGTAATGTTCAGATCCTTACAGTAAGATTTCTTTCACTAAAGTCTCCAAAACTGTTAGTGGTTTAAGTGTTTTCCCCAGGCAATATACTCCCCTTTCCTAACTGAAATATTAATACCTGTCATACTTTATCAAAGAAATCTTGACTCTGCACAATGTAAGTGTTTTAGGGTACAAGCACCTATAACAATTATTTAGATTGGGGGTGGGGTGGGGGAGGTTGGTAGGATGTCTCTTTGCTTGTTTATTCCAAATGAATAGCGTTTAGCTGCCATTAAAAGCTAGTACAGATACAGGAGAATTCCCACCTTTCCAAGCAAGCTTTAGCAGCAAATAGATCTCAGATGCTCTCATGAGACTGTTAGTCCGACTGAATGCAGGGCATACTACCTTTCCATTAACAGCATATTTTGAGAAGTGGATCTGGTTAAGTCTAAATATTGCTCAGGGAAGGAGAAGAAGAAAGATGTTCAGCTTCACCTCACCTCCAGTACATACTGTCTAAGTAAAATGATTAAAAATGAGACTGTCACTCACAAAGTTATTTAACTTCAGGGTAAAGCTATGCTTAGACAATGGGAACAGCTTAACAATTAATTCTAGAATTTATTTTATTAGAGAGTCCTGTTTCTACATTTCCTTAATCTTTTGAAATATGTCTTCATATTCTACTACATAGGTACAGGAAGAAAATAAAAAAGCTAGGATTTACCCACAAATACTACAGACTTTGAGGATGGGGGAAGGCAAGTTTCTGCCTTTCCTGTGTCTCTACATCCCTCTGGCTCATCTTAGCTGAGGAATCTGAATTATCCAAGACCCTTGGAAGGAAATATTTTTAAATAGTAAGTACCAACACTAGGTTTGACTTGAAGTTAATATTCTTGCCCTCAAGAGCAATACAGCAAAGAGTAAGAAATGGTATTCCTTATTTTTACTGCTAATGAAGAAAATGCAGAACTCAGAAAATACAGCTTACAGCCCATGGTAGCACTGACATTTTGTGGAGGTAAGGGGTAGTGAATCTTTCATTTCACATACAAACAAGAACCAGATTAGTAACCCTGAAAATTACACAGAGAAGTTCAATTATTGTTTAAAGGGAATCACAGTTAAGAACAAAAAAAAAGCCAAATAGAAAGGAACCATAGTAATCTATCAGAGAACTGACAGCAGACTAGGCAAAATTCATGGCAATTTGCTTCAGTTCCACACTGCTTACAAGTAATGAATGCATAGCTGAGGAGCACACCTGCCCCACAGCGCAGCTGCAGCCTGTGACATTTACTACAGATGTCCTGTATTCCCCTTCATCCCTCTCACCGCCAGAATTGTCCACAAACCCAGCTTTCCCCAGTCCCAGCACTCAGATGACTATCACCTTGCATATCAGCTTTCTAGATCTGATTTCAAGCCACACTCATGCTGAATAGACTAAAAAAGAACAGCTAGCTGTTTTGCTCATACTTGAGCCTTTTCCTTAAGTGATGGCACTAATTCGGGGTTCTCCTCTTTACCAGAACACACAGGAATTTTGTGACTGATAATACTAAACTTTTGTTAAACTTAGCTGAATTTGAATCAATAGGTTTAAAAAAACGCAAAACTGATGGAAAGGTTTATGATCACACTGTCTTGTCTTTATCCCTTTATTAAAAACAGCACTACTTTTAGTTTGATTTCCTAAGGGTTTTTTCTTTATTAGTATATTCCATGCAGGCATGTGTGATCTCTGCCCACCCTAAGCCCTCAAGTTAGAAAGTCCTAGGGCCAATATGATTATGTACAAAGTAACTCACTTTATAAAAGTTGATTAATATCAGCAACAATAGTAATACAATAGTATTCACCAACAAGCGTCCAGTATCATATAGATTTACATAGCATTGCTACGAAACAGCTACAAAACCAGAGCATTTCTATGAAGTTCTGGCTGTCAATATAATGAAAAATAAACATTTTTCTACACTGTTAAAAAAAAAAGTTGAGCCATTCAGTCATTCCTAGCCAAGATTTCTTTGTGTAACAAAATACATTCTCACTCAGCATTAAATTTTCAAGTTTTTTTACATTTTTAATATATAGTTCTAGCAGGTTGGGGATTTGGGGGGTTTTTTGTTTTGTTTTTTAACACGGTCTTCAGTTTTAAGTTACTATTTTAAACAGAATAAATAGTCTGTAGATCAGATAGAAAACTATATGCAAGAATGAATTGCAAAAGTAAATTATCTTTCCATTGATAGCCCACAGGGCTATTTTTTGCCACTTTTTCAAAAGGTTTTATTTAAACATACACACAGAGAGCACATATTACATTGCTGTTGTATGTGAAAACAAGCAAGCAACCCTCCACTGCCAAAGCTGGTGGTTCACAAGTGGACAGGGGAAAAAAGGATTAAATAAACTCTTGAGAGGCCATTTGTTTGCATAAGTTAATTTCTGAGGAAATTAAGGTGCCCAAAACTGTGCTCATCTTCACCTAAAAAGTAAGGTCAATTCCTAGCATCAGCAGCTGCAGTAAGTCCCACTGTCAACTAGAATGAAAAATGGCACAAAACATGCAACTAGAATGAAACATGGCACAAAAACATTAAACACATCACATGAACTCAGATTTCAAGATAAAGGATCTTCCTGAACTTGGCTCATGGCACTCTGCACAAACAGCAGTGCATGGATAAAGGCTTTAGACTTTGAAAGTATTCAAACCAGAACTCATAGTTGGCATAATTTTGCAAAAGCTAGAAGTTACAAATTCTATAAGTTTGTACAGAAGTTACTCTGAAGCACGCAATTACTGAATTTTAAACTGCCTGACAATATTATCCAGTCTTCTTAGAATACCTTTCCAAAGTAATTTTTGATCCTGCAGATTAATACTTTATATAGAATATGAAATGCTGTTCTGGAACAAATCAGTAAGATGGAGGAGATACAACATTAAGATGCAGCCAGATTAACAGTGGGGGAAAGTACATTAAAAATGTCCTTTAACTAACCTCCATTAAAAAAAAAAAAAAGACTCAAGACTGTCCCCTAAATCGAAGATATTAAAAAAAAAAAAACAAACCCAAAACCAGTAACAACCACACAAAAACCAAAAAGAACAAAACCAAAGAAACCCACAGTTCCCTATCTAATCTTATTTTAGAACAGAAGAATGACTTTTACATATTTTGCACTCTTTGGCAGGGAATCTATGAAATCAAAACATGTCCTGACAAATTGAACCTTTCCTAAGAAGGGTTCACAGTCATAAACTCATTTATAATGTGTTATGTGGGAGACGGCAACTCATAACAGTTTGAAAATCAACAACATGGAATGTACCAACAGATTTTTGAAGAATGACAGTAGCAGTTATTTACATTCAGGGTAGTTAATTGTTCTTTATGAATTAGGTTTCCCCTGTATAAATTAGAAAACTACAAAAAGTCAAAATTGGGAGAAATCCCCATTGTCTTTAAAAGTTCAAGCAAAAGTATCTTTGCAGCACTTTCCTTAGACAATAGCGTATTGCTCGTATAAAAGGTCTCTTATCCTATAGAAGTCCTGACAGAGACAGCCTTCCAATCCAATGCGCCCTGTTTCAGTCTGAAACGAAAGACATGTTTCTCATTACTGTAAAGATAATAAATTGAAACTTTATTTTCATTTAGAATATTATTTACCAAAGAGTTTAAGACACAGAACACCTACCCTGCGAACAGCCACCAGATTGTTGCACACAAGCACTCCTCCTACAAATTCAGCTTGTATACCTTCTCGCAAGAGAACTTGCTTGAAGTCGGACAGTCTTGGCTCATTCATAAACACAGACTGATGTCCAAGAACCTTTAAACAACACACACAATTTTAATCCTTCTGCTACTTAATACCTTCCATTTTTCCAAAGATATCCTCATCATTGTGTTGGCAGCAGTGTGGCCTAGACTACAGGACTATAAATGAGAAGATTGGTTCTATTTCTGTTCACCTGCAGCAAGACATTTCCAGGATAGCAAGGCGTTAGAAGTTATTTGTCAAGTAAAGGAAAAGTTTCCTTCTTTGCTCACATATTGAAGACAAATGGAAAGCTGTCATTGAAGATCCCTCTTCCAAGCCATGTTATGCCAGGGTCAGAGGTGCAGTAAGCTGTACTGCTGATCAGTACATACTTCTATGACAGTTGTCATGAATGTGAACAGACTTTAGAGTTGTCTCCACGTTTATCTAGCTCCTAGAACAGACTACATTTAGGACTGTGCAACAGTATCTTAAAAAGCAATTCTAGGATTAGAACGCATTTTAATCATTCACTGAAAAGATAAAATAGTATCTACTCACATGCAAAGTATTTAAAAGTAAAGATAAATTTATAGAAAAGATTAATTTAATGAACTTTCAAATATAGAGGCAGAAATGTATGAATTTCAAAGATCTGTATCTCAAGTACATGAAGTATTTTCCACAGCATCAACAAAACATAACAAAATCCAACAGCGACTAAATGCCAACTGATTTCCAAATCTACACGTATTAACTACAAATATGAAACATGCTAATTAAAATCTTATCTTCACCAATAGATGGTACTGTATGCTAGGCACTGTTAGTGGATGCAAGAGATCATTCTTGCTGAAAAGCATAAAATCTGAACAAAGAACAGTACCAGGTTTAACAAAGAGAAAACCAAATATGAAAATCCAGTTCCAGTTAGGCATTCATTTGAATAAGATCACAGTATCAACCTCTAAGCACCAGAAAAAGACAAACGAATACAGAGTTCTTCAAAAAAGAAGTCCAGATCAGCGTAATTTCTGTACCTCATGAGGTGGCAGAGGTTCCAAAGTAGGAATGATCTCGCTTTCCTCACACATCTCCTTGTCATCGTCACCGAAGAGGCTTTTCATGGCCTTCTGTTGTGCGATGACACTAGAGTCTGAAGAAGGCATATCCACTTGCATCTCTGTATCTTCATCTTCCCTCAGCTCTCCCTCTTCCAAAATAACTCCAGTATCCACTTTCGAAACCCGCATGTCCAGAACACCATCTATCCAAGCCAACTCAGCATCTTTGGCTTTACAGAACTGAAGGGAGCTGACAAGAGAATCTTTTAACCTGACCTGGGTTGCACAAAAATAAAAGTACTATTAGTTTGATGGAAAACACAGAGAGAGTTCTTACTTCAAGCTTTAAAAATTAGAGGTTTTCCTTTCACTGTCTCTCCACATATATTTGATTCATACTCTTTCGGGGAGGGAGAGGAGGGAATTGGTATCACCAAGGCAAGATGTTCTATACTTTCAAAATATAATTTGTAAAACCCTCATGTCACTACTCAACTTAAAAAGCAGCGGAGATCAATACCTTTTTTGTCTTGGTTAAAATAAAAAAAGAACCTATACGACTGCAAACTTGAGTTAAACTTACAGAAAAAGCAATCAATTCTTTTTGAAACATCAGAAACCTTTTCTGTGGCCAAGTAGTTCCTCAGTTGGCCTTAGTAAATTTAAGGAAAGTTTCTATAGATACATTTAGGTTACTGAACATCAGTTCCAAGTTTCAACCGTCCAAAAAAAAATTAACATTTTATGGTAAGAAGGGATGTTGTAAATATCAGATTTTACAGTGACCAAAACATTACCTTACCCTGATTCTTCTGGTGCATTCCAGGACTTTAACCCATTAAATAAAGCCCTACTCTGAAGACTGCTATCCACATGAGATTGTGCATGATGCCCATAGCAGAATCAAGGCTGCAACTGTATGAAGGATACTGCAACTAACTATCCATCTGCAGCACAGTCGACTCAAAAGACACCGGGACTCTGATGCCCCACTCACATCTATTATTTTCTAATTCAATGTCTCCAGTGTACTTCATCCGTTCAGAAAGCTTCAAACAGAAAAACAAACTAAAGCTATGCAGAAGATTGAATTTCCCCTTTATATTAAAAAAAAAATTGAAATTAAATATGAAGCAATTACAATTTTATTCAGATAAATATTTTGTGAAAAATCATAATCATGTCATTTCTTACACACTAGCAATCCTAATAGCTTTAAAAAAACAAAACAACCCCAAACACCAACCAACAAACCGAACACAGAAAACACCGCTCTTAAGACTCTCAGAACTGGATAATTTTGAGTAACTGGAACTTTCCACTTCCTACAGGGTAACAGATTTTTCTCTAGAAAGAAGCAGAAGTACCTTTTTCAGCAATTCTACTTATGTTTTTCTATTAACCTTAAAAGGACAGAAGGAATAAAGGACTAATGCCTAAAGTGCATGTGAGAGACGTTCCTCTAAACAACTTCAAAAGTTGAATTGGGACCATACACCATTTTCACATACTCCACACAAATTATCCAAGTTTTCTTATTTAGAGCTTAACCATGAAAAGTAAATGCAATATATTAACACAGTGCAACACATTATGATAACCTCACTTTCCAAGAACCATCACATTAACTTTCTTTTGGGGGGTAGGGGTGTCTTATTTATTTATTTTTAACATTAACCCGCTCCTAGCTTTACATGTTCATTCTTAGGTACTATTTAGGTACGAAGGATTTTTTTTTTCTTTGCTCTCTAAGGCTCCCCTTCAAATTCCAAAAAGAATCCTGAATTGCAAGTAGTGTACAGTGGTACTCTAAATATAGGCATTATAAATCAATTATTAAGACTTGAGTAAAGCAAACTGATGTTCCCATGGACACAAACCTTGCCTCTTGCACTACAGGTAAAAATGCACTGATCTCATGTTTAAGCTTTTAAACACTTCTTATGAATAATAAGCATAAGGAGAATGCTTACCTAGAGGACAGAAAACGCTACTAATGTCTTGATCACACAAACCCAAGTGTACACAAAGGTAGTATTGTCTCTCCTCTCCCAAAGAATGGAAGGCCAAATTAGAGTCTGCCAATAGAGCTCTACTACAGTTCACAGTAATTACACAACTAACAAATTCTAGTACCTTACCTGGTAAATGTGAGTTTCGCTGGTTGCATCTACAGTTTCATGCAGTTTTGGCATGTAAACTTTAATATCTTTTCCACCAAAAGCTCTGCAACATTCTGCAAGGTCCTGACTGGCCTCAGGTGGTCCATGGACAATGATCAGTTGTCTTGGTTTCATTTGGTTTATAATTTTTTTAATTGAGTCCCCATCTGAGCGTCCTTCATAGTCAATGTATGTAACTCTGGCTCTAGTTTCAATTAAAAACCCAAGAATAACATTTTTTTAGTTTAAAAGATTAAACCTTTGAGTGCTCCAAAATATTTCATTTAAAAACTGAAGATATTTTGAAATTATTCTACATCAGCAAAAGATGTCAGCACAAAGTATATTATGGATCAGTAAAATACAGAATTGTCAAATATCAGCATGTATGTGTATTTAACACTATAAATTCCCAAAATTCACTTACATAGGTATCAAAAACATGAGATAAGCATATTCAAATAAGTTGTTCTTTTAACAAAATATATATACATTTAAGTATCTGTGCTAAAATACTATTGTTTCGTCTGTTCTTTCTCTTTCACTTGTCTCCATCAGACAAGGGAATAAACTGCGAATTTCTTAAAAGTGGGGAACCATAAGACTCTGTACCGTGCTCCCAGAAAGACTAGTAAAAAACTAACTTAGATAGCTTGGGGGAAAAAAAAACAAAAAGCAAGCCCTTTCCCACTTTCTTAATTCCGAGCTAGCTTTTTACCCAATTTGCACCATACCCGTGCCACCATTCTAGCCACCATTGACAAGAAGAAAGCCACTCACTTAATTTCCATGGATTCTGTTGCAGAAATACATTTAGTAGGAACATCTGATAAATCCTGGTCCATAGGCTCTTCCCCATTTGTCAAACCAGATTCTAATTTGCTTTTTTCTTCTTCTGTTGCTTGAAGTTCTGGAACTAGAAAATCCTCAGGTCTAAAGAATGGAAGGCATTTTGCTTTTAATAGTCTTACAGTAAAACCAAAGCACTACATAATGTAAAAACAAACAATGCTGACTATTACTACTGAGATGTTTTATAATTGTTACTGCCAACAATTTTATTACACTTGCCTTCAATATTTCCGTATTTGAACAGAGCTCATTTGGAAAATATCACCTTCCTATCTTAAAAAAGAACTTGAATATTCTGGGAAATACTAGCAAACTGAAGTTTTCTAGCAATTATTACTTATGCAAATAGGACAAGTATCACTAGATTTTTCTAGGATGAACAACGTTCTTTCCCCTCATTATAAATTTATCAAAATTATGTGTCATTTAAAGCAGACAAAAAGTCAGGCTAAAAATATTAAGTCTTCTATCTTGTAAGATAAAGCAAAAAAAAAAAAAAAAAAAGAAGCCCAGAGTGGAAAGACATCCTAAGAGGTGTGAACACAGGCCAAGGATCAGGATTCTGCAGCTTCAATCTCAACATAAGCTTTCTGTGAGACTTGGCTCAAACTGCCCTAACTGTTCAAAAGTTACTGCGATTCGAAGAGTACGTAACAGTGCTGCAAAAGAGACAAAATGATGATTTTGATTTTTATTACTTCTATTTTTGAATTATTTCATAGCTATTACACGTTAGTATGCATTACCACCACGTACTTGATAATCTCGCCATATTCATCCCATTTAATTCTTTCTTCAGGGGCTGGAAACATTGGATAAGATTTCTTTGCCTGTTTGAAAAAGCTTCCTTTCCGGCTACCTTCACCTTTCATCATCAAATCATGTTTGGTCTTATGTACCGTTGGCTGATCAATATCCTCTTCAGCATCACTCTCATCACTGGAATCGATATCTGCCCTGAAATGACATTCCAAAAAAACTTGTACTTTCTTTTTTTCTTCAGGTTTAATATTACATACACACACTAACTGGAAAATAACAGTTGACGTAACACTAACCAAGGACAAGTGCAGTTTATGTATCTGAGAAAGAGCTCCCAGGCAGATTAAACAGGTCTATCATAACAACAGATTAAAGACCACCATTCCCAATTCCTCTGTGCCCTCAGACAAGTCTATCAAAACTATGTTATTCATTTATCCCTGTAAATGGTTGAAGCAGAATGATCACACAGAAATCTCAACTCTGACCATAACAGCAGAATGCAAGAACAGCCAATATACTTACTCTTTAGACTGTTCTAACTTCTTAGCTGCTTCTTTCTTTAGTTTCTCCTTTTCTAGGTATTCTTCAAGTTCTTTTCCTTCTAACTTGACACGTTTCCTCAACTGCAGATAGAATTAAAGCTAATATTATTGTGAATAGCTGACACGATTTTAATACTTTTCCTACACGCTGATGACAAGAATATTTGTATTTAAGTATCAAGGGCAAGTACAATTTCTGTATCACAAGATTATGCAAACATGTGGCACTTTGGCGCAGCAACATCATGACAACGTTATCAGTTAGTAGAGCCTACTTTAACAGAAAAGCATTTCTAAAAGCATTAAAATCAATTAGCTTTACAAAAATTTCTTAAAACATCCTCAGGAAACATCTCTCCAATAAGTGAATGCAAATACTTTGAGATGAGCAGTGGTTTTTTTATTTTTGCGTCACTAACATCAAACCAGAAGAACCTGGCAAAGTCATACTAGCAGGCAAAACAATGGTAAGTTTTGTTTCTTGTTTTCTGAAAATCAAATCAGAGTATAGGTCACTTTGAATAACACTGAATTCTAGTAATAGTCTAATACTGTAATTCAATGCTTCCAATCCAATCTAAAACTAAAATAAAGCTGCATCATCAGGATCGAAATTACCACTGTGATCACAGGGGACTCCCATAAATTAACCATGTTTACCAGAGAGAAGTAGACACAGGTAAATAAATTATTGAAAATAATTTGAAAGCATGAATAACAATTGTGTTCTAATTCCTAGCTTTTGTTTGTCTTTTTAATTCTGATAGGACATATTGTGTTAATTTGACTTGATTCTCCCCTCATCCTAAACCAGAGTATTTTCCAGCAAGAATAATCCATCACATATTGCGATCTGTATGTCAACTGCAAGCAGAATTTTTCTATTATAACAAAAACACAAAGGAAAGTGTTGTCTAAAGATAAATATTTAAAAGCAACTTCATGCTCATCTCTATGGAGTATTAATTTTGCCACACCACCAAAAAGTATTTTGTAGGCCCTAATATGAGACCTATTTTTACATACATTTATCCACAATTGGTTAAATATGCAACATACTGATTTCAGATTTCCCTCCACCACTGGTAGCATTTTCAGGAGATCAAAAGGAAACTAAGTTCAGTTTTGTTCATATTCCTACAATATAAAAACTTTAAGATATATAGACAACTCTTACCTCAATATCTATAACTTTTTCAGAAGGATTATCAATCAGAAATCGTGCTAATGTTCCAGGTGTAGTGCGGTAAGTTAAAATTATAGAGTTTTTGGAATCCTGGCACCACTGAATGAAAAGATCTCTAGAAAACCCACACTCTAAGTCAGGTTGACTGGCAAGAACAACTTTTGGACTAGGCACTCGAGCCAGATCAGACAGACTATGACATAAGGAGAGATGCCGGAACTGAAAAGGATTGTTTCTCTTGTCTTCAAAGCACCTCATCAACTTGTCACTCATCCATTCAACCTAGAATAGGTATTAAGAAAAAATTATCTATAAGAATACAAGTTCTACAATAATGTACAAACCTGATACGAAGTACGGCATGCAATATGCACGTCATTACATCAACATTTCTCAGCAAGTGTAGAAATAATGCTGAGCATAAACAACACAGAAACAAGTATTTTAAGTCCTCTTTTTTAACAGCTATAAATTATGCTAACAAGTCTTGTGATAAAAACAGAAATGAGTATCAAGAAACATGCCTGTAACCACGGACTCCGTTACTTGATCGAAAGATCTGAGACACAAACACGTGCTATAGAATAAGGACAACACCCAATATTTAGCCATTTTTTACTGTTAAAAAGAAAAACAAAATGCTTTTGCATACATGTTCCATTACCGTCTTCATAATTGCATTTTAAAATCAAAACAAACCTGTGATTTAGAGAACTCCACTACATTGTAGCTGACGTTATTCAGAAGTGCTAGAGAGTAGACTCCTAATCCTGCATCTTTTGTTCTCCAAATCTGATCAAGAAGTTGAGCAAGTTCCAGAACTCTGCCTGCTGTGTCCACGGCTATTAATACATTCCCATCACCTCGTAATGTCTCCAAAACATTAGCTAAAAAGAATTAAAAACAAAACAAAAACCTACTTATACTTTGAACCAAAATTAGAATGTTTGTGGTTTGGTTTTTTTTTGTTTGCTCTATCACTCTAGCAATCATAATCAAAAGCAAATTGAACACAGAAAAAAATTAAACTTCAAAAGAGATCCAAAACCACATTTCCACCAAAATTAAAGGGAGTTAGAGTTTTCTTGGTAGCTCTGAAGATCTCACTGCCTTGATACTACTTTTTCTTTCTTTTTCTTTTTTTATTAAAAAAAAAAAACAACACACAGTAAAATGGGAGTTTAAAAAAGAATGTGCTGAGGAAGGTCATTTAAAAATCCCTTAAGAAAGGATTAATTGATACTGGGTAAAATACACTGTCTTCAAACACGGTTCATTGTTTTCATGAAAATGTTTAGCCCACAGGATCAGTACCATCAGAAAAGAGTAATTCAAACTTTCAATAAAGGTTCTTAGTTTGGACGCTGATGAATTTCTCATAGAAAAACAATTTACAGTGGCTAATAAATCACATTACTGCTATTTTCAAGCCCAAATAGAATACATACTCAGTAGCTGTTCATCCCTTTGCTTCCTCCTGGGTTGTACGTAAGTAGCATTAAATGAATCTGTAATAAGCAATGAAGGCCTGCTCAACATTTCCAAGGAACATCCATTCAGATGGCTGTGGAAAAAAGGCGAAATCTCACTTTTTGCATTTCTATTTTATGAGAAAAAATAAGACAGCTAGCTTCCAGATGTTTGCACGTACAGAAATCAAACTCCTCAGTAGCTGAATGTTTCCTGCTTACAAATAAATAAAACTGAGTGGAATGAAGAAACCCGGAGCTAATGCTTGTTTCAAATTGATTAATCTGAATGCAAGTGAAATTAGTGTCTTATTAAAGAGCTGGAGAGGCACTGCTACTTCCGTACCTGTTTATCACACACTAAATAATGCACACCTAACACAACATTTAAGAAATATATATCTTGTTATATTGAACTTACATCTCCCTCTTGTGGTTGAAATCAACTGCATAAACAATTTCTTCCTCTCCATCCTTGACAATCTTCCAAATTGTGCCTCCTATCATGTGGCCAGCTGGCAATGGTGTGATTGACAAACCATGTCCTTTGCCTACAAAAGTTTTCAATATTTTAGGTACACCACATGTATTAAAATCCATTACTCTGAATAAGAGATAGTAATTTTAAACAACTGAATGCCAAAATTATTACTGGGGAAAAAAGTCAAATGAAGTATGAAAAATCAGTAACATATCTGTCCTTCCCATCTAACCAGTAACTTCAAAATTTTTTGCAATTCATTTCTATTTTGCCTCCAGAAAAAGAAACTAAAGTGAAGATCACTTCTTCCCTCCACCTCCCACCAGTACTTAGAGGCACTGCAGAGCTGCTGTAACTACAGACCTACACAACAGTAAATTATATCACAAACATATCGCATGAAAGCAAGTACACTGGTGAAAGGCAGACCCCTCTCTGGGGCAACACAAAATCTTTACTGTATCATTCACTGTCTAGGTACTTACAAAAACACATATAAATTACACAAACTGGGAGTTTTCCAGAATGACAAACATGCAAGTAAAACAATACTTGTTCATCTGCTGCAGTCAGGGATGATGGATCTTTTCAGTATCTGGTGCCTTTTTTTTTTAATGCACTGTTGCTCCTCGTCATTAGTGCTAGCCTGTATCTTTGTCAGAGTAGAACTCGACCACCCATGACCATTACTCTGACTTCGCTGCATTCCACCAACTTGAACAGAAGTGCACAGCTTTAATAACAATTAAAACATACATTTATTTTCTTAGATGCATCCATTGAGTCTTTTTTCAAATCGCTTCCATTAAATATGAAACAAGTTTGGTGTTTTAAAAAAGTTGTTCACTAAAATTACTTTTGAGATGTAAAGGTTGACAGCACAGACATAACCTTGTTACAAATATCTTGAAAAAGGGTCAGCAGCCTTTCAAGGATGGCATCCCATTTCTATTTTCCAAATTACAGGGCAAGTATTTTGGCAAGAGGCATTCAGGAACTGGGAGATACTGCATCTCAGAGACAAGCTGGTAGTGGTCAGCTTGTATGTGTTTTTGTTCAAGAACAGGGTTTCCATTTCATTCTGATCTTTAAATTCAACATGAGTGAAACGCTGCTGATTCTCCAGATGCCACAGTTCCTAGCAATAAGCTACACTGAGTATCATTCAGAGCCAGTAAAGACCTCCTCATTAAATCATCCACATGCTATAACTTAATCTCTGCAATCTAGTCATTCTTTAGAAAGCTTTCCTTTGTGTTGCTGGTTACGAAAGAGTTCTGAGGTCTCTACCACTAGGCATGAGTAAATGCTTTTGAGAGACATGAGCAAATTCCAAGAAAAGTTACAAAAACAAAAAAGAAAAACAAATGTCTAAATATGCTTTGGCATGACCTCCTCCTCATTAATTCTACCCATTTCCACATACAATTACTGAGGCAAATGTTCAGCTGATACAGACTGACACAGGACTGCTGAATTCAGCCCTACAAAATGCACATTTCAAAACTTACTCCCTTTAAAAAAGAGTTACTTTAACTCTTAATGACTCTGTTGCCTTTCACTAAAAGTCATTTATTGAAACTTTGGTGACAACTTTACCTTTCAAGTTCACAATCTGAGAAAACTTCAGTTGTTGTATCTTATCAAAGGCTGCATCTACATCATCCAATGTAAAGAGTGTGAAATCTTCAGTATTATGGCGGGACTAAAACAAATAAGAAGTACAGAGCATTCAAGAACCTGAGCACTCTACCATATCAAAGATGTTGTGTATGAAAGTATCAACTTAAATATACCTGGTAGAGATCATACATAAACATCTGTCCCATTTTATATACAGGAATAGTTGCATAAATGGCGCAATTCAACCCCATTTTTCCAACTGCATATGGAAGAGCACCAAGGTGTAGAGGGTCAGGATGAGAAAGAAGAACAGCATCAACCTGGTGTACATGTCTACAAAAAGAGGGACAATAGAAGTTGGTATTATATACTCCCTATTATGGCTATTTTGAGAATACATACATAGTCCGAATGCCAAACAAGAAAACCTAAATCCTTCCAGGTTTAGAACAAAGTTTTTAAAATCATAATTAAAAGTTACAGATATTTCCAAATGTTCAAGTACTTAAAAATGCAAGTGACTTCTGAAAACATAATTTCAAGGTTTGGAAGATGTAAGTTTCACATCAAATTCTCGATTAGAAAGTACTTAATACATACTTGGACACCAGAAAGTACATTAACTGAGGGGCCAAAAATATTACCAGTGCTGACATGCTACAAATTGTTTATACATCTAAAAACCTAAAACAGACTACAACTTTTCTTCTGATGAGAAAGACCAAGAAACAGGACCAAAGACACAACAATCCTTAAACTGATAAGGATCAAATCAAAATATCTTTCTTTAAAAACAGAAAAGGTCAAATATATCATTTAAGAAAAGTGGCACATAAATTTTGGGGGTTTTATTCATTTTAAAAACAGAAGGGTTTTTTCTTGCAAAGTGTTGCATAAAATAAGAACTCAGACTAAAAACTTACTACCTATCATAACTGAAAAACCTGAGGGCACAAAACATATGCACAAGTGAAAATACAAGTTGGGCTGAAAGCTTTTTGTTCCCTCACACAGTAACTGAGGCACACATTCTTCTTGATGGCTGTTATTAAAAAGGGGATTTTATCTCATTGCTTCTCAGATAAGACACTCGAAAAATTTTATAAGTTATCCTTAGTACATAATAATCCTTAGTTAAAAGACTTCAAACACTACAAGTGTGTCAATGCTAGAAAAGTGAATCTATGAAAATAGCATCACAAAGCTTAGTTTCTTTCAGGAACTTCTATGTTTCACTCCTAACCTTGTAATCAATGCTTGCATCAGCAAAGCTCCTTGCTGTAAACCTGCAGAACTTCAGTATTAAAGTCTAGACAGGTTTATTTCTTCACAGGGCTGGGATAACTAACAGAAGCTGTTTTCCTGACAGACAGTCTATTCAACTTGAAATAAGAGGCGAGAGTTGAACCACTTTGTATTCTGCTTACATACACTAAGGATTCTTTCATTTAAAACTTAGTTAACCATTCTAAGTTAGTGTAGAGCCAAGGTCAGTCTCCCATAAACTCTGCTCTGTGTCGTGTTTATGAAAAAACCAAAACATCCAAGCCAAAACAAACACAGAACAGTTTGAGAATTACAGTTAATAGATATAACTCATTAGACTCACAAGAAAAAACCCAAGTTTTTACTGGAAATGTTTCAGCAGCGTAATTCCCTTCATATAAAACATACTTCAAACAAACAAACAAAAAGAACAATTTTGGACTTAACATCACCATACACGTATCATTGCATGGTATTTTAAAAGCTTTCAGAAAAGGACAAGACCTAATAGAAAAAAAAAAAGTGTATGGACTGAACTACTTACTTCCTCAGAGAATCAATAATATCCATAGAAAAGTTTTCATCCCAGCCACAGTCCAAAAGAAAACGAAATTCATCTACTTGCAACAGATAGCAAAGGGCAGATTCCTCCTGCACCCCTGAAAGCGTAGTCAACTTGATAATCGACGTCATTTTCCTCTCCAAGCGTTTAATCTCCAAAAAAACTAATCTGAATGGGGGAATAAAATGTTTCATTGACTGATCTAAAGGAAAAATCTATTTATTTAAATCTAACTTCATACATTTCTGAAAATATGCAGGATAACAGTTGTGAATACTATTCAATACAGCTACTGGATATCAATTAAGTCTCAGATATTAACTTTTGACCGTTGTAGATCTTCTGTTATTAGAAAGAGGGTTTTTTTTACAATAAAAATAATTAAAAAAAAGGGCCACTAGGAGCAATGCAGTTAACAGCAGCTCCCCCC